CTAAACCCCTAAACCCTGAACAGGAGCCGGACAGAAGAGAAAATCAGCCAAGCCATGGCTCACCAGTCTGTGTGGAAATGGGGGCAGGAGATTGACATGTGTTGTCATAGTCTAAACTCCTTAAAGGGAGGTTATATAGGGGATTCTATAGGGGACTATTATAGGGGTTACCAAGGGGGATACTAGGAGTTTAGACTATAACCCCCTATAATCCCCTATATAATCCCAGTTTCCATTTCATTTTCCATTTTCTTTTCCATTTGATTCTCCATTATTGTAGAGGCCACACTAAACCCCAAGCCGTATGTGTTGTCATCCTTTTTTTTGGCTCTGCAGGAGGGATTGGGATTTAATAGTGGCCTAAGTTCTAGGATGTGGGATTCAAGGTAACCATTTCTGGCTAAAGTTTCGAGACCCTACACCCTAAACTCTGAACCCTAAACCGCGCATAGATCTTAGGGTTTCTGGGTTAGTGCAAGTTCCCCAGCACGGTTTCCGAGTATGATCCTTTCAGTTGCCCTTGGGGTTCAGGGTTTGTAGCGTTGATAGGGGTTATATTGGGATGATGGAAAAGAAATGGAGACAACTATTGAGGGTTTAGGGTTTAGGGGCTTAGGGTTCAGGATTTCAAGTACTTGCGCAGGCCATTGGCATGCTGACGCTTTCTAGCCGCAACCGGATCAGCTTTTGGGAAAACTTCCTTTTTCCTTGTGGCTTCATTGCCTCAACCCCCCTAGAAGGGACATAGATTGGGTACTGCCCCCCCTCAGCAACAGTTAGATAATACTTATAAGATGGTTATATATAGCCCTTAAGGTAATAGGACCCCTAATATGAACTGTTACTGGGTGGGAGCAATACCCAAGACATAGACATTTGCATCTGGGAGTTTTCCACCTGAAAGCTCCAGAATAGGGGCTTAGGTTTTAGGGGCTAAAGGGTTTAGGGGCTTAGGGTTTAGGGTTTACCGGAGCCCGGCAACAAGAGACTGATTTAGAAAATCCCCATCATAGACGTTCGTATTTGCGTATACCTGAAGTTGCGAAACACTCTGAAATGGTAAAGCCCACCAGAAAGTTTTGCAAAGGGAGCCCCAAAGCCTAGACCCTAAACCCCTAAACCCTCAAACCCCCAAACCCTAAACCCTTAAGCCTTCAGACGCTAAACCCTGAGTCATGGCCTTTCCTGCAAATCTGTGGGACTCCGCGGATGTATGGTGATGATCAGAAATTATGGGGTTCTCCTTCAAGGATTCTATAGACATCATGTTCAAGAATTCCCACATCTCGCGGAGTCTTTCTCTGTTACTTCCCAAATGACAGATAACGATTGCAATCGGGTAAGTGTGACTCTGCCGTACTCGCAGTTATAACTTATAACCCAATACGAACCATATTATGGGACTGATGGTAGCATACTTCGCATATAGGTACAACTGTAAGTAGGTGATATTTGTCCCACGCCCTCAACCTGAAACCTGTACATCCCAATAAAAAATCCCTAAGTTTGCATCTCATTTTCCGACCCCCAAAATAGTGCAGAATGCTCCTAAGCACTTCTCCCTAAACCCCAATGCCTAAACACAAAATGTACACCCTAAACCCTCAATCATCCCTCTGCCCAACTCCCTAAACCCTAAACCCTACCACCTAAGCCCTACCCTCGAACCTGAGCCCAAATCCCGTCACGGGGTTATGTATACAACAACCCTGAACCTCCGACTAATACAGAGGTCTGTTTGAGGCCCCCTATATGTTCTCATCATGCAAGAAGCCCAGGACCAAAATATTGGTAAGTATTTAAGCCCCTTAGAGGCTTGAGGTCAGACCCGGGTGCTTGAGGTTCGGGGTTTACATGTTTAGAGCTCAGATTTTAGCATTTAGGGCGTTGGGTACCCTAGCCCCTAAACTAACCCTAAAATCACGCCCCATGCCCTGAGCGCTAGAATCCCCAAAAATCGCTGCCGGGAAGCATGTCAAGATGTGTGGTAGCTTTCTTAAGCAAGCGCTCAAAACGCTATGGACCTCATTCTGGGAGACCCCTACCCCTAAACCTTCTAAGTTTCGGACATCCCCAAAGTTACAAAGACCATCCCTGAGGACTAGATACACGAGAGTTTCTCAAGAGTCCCTATCCAGACCCCCAAAAAAATCTATAACATAGACCCCCTAGAACCACATGGAAATTATATAGGGATTCTGTAGGGCTTAGTCTGAGTCTATATAGGGGATCTAATTTGCTCCTTGGGACTTAGCTTGGACCTTAGACCCTTAACCCTTTGGGCTGCCCTTATATTCCTGTTACAGGTACCTAAGGGTTAACCTTAGTAGGGCTCCTAAGTGCCACGTAGTGGTTAGATCATCCCAGGAGTCTGGGTAGCCAATTCTTGCGAGGAACCTCTAAGCCCTCAACTCCTTCTGCATTGTGAGATAGCCCCAATGTACCCATACCATGATAACTTTACCTCAGGTTCCTTAACACGGATTTAGGGTTTAGGGTAAGGCTTGTAAACCCTACAACCCAGTCTTTCCAAAATACCAGAAGAAGATTCCAGGAAATGGCCGTGGATACTTGTTTACGCATGCTGGTCGGACCTGGAGCAACCTTCTCTATCCAAACTTGAAGCTGGAGGAACGCTGGGTTTGGGGTTTAGGGCGGTTTGAGGGTTTGGGGCTAAGGTACTAGGGTGTTGGGTTTTGGGGGCCTCAAGAAGCAACACAATGGAGATAAGAACATGGAAAGTTAAATGAAAACTGGGCTATATAGGGTTGTATAGGAATAACATGTAGGGGCCTATTTAACTAAGGCATGGCTCTGGGCACAATAAACTCTAGTTCTGTGAAGATGGTAATGGAATGACGTTAGTGAGTCTTGAGGCTTCTAACCCTGAACCCGAACCCTAAACCCCTCAACCCTAAACCTTAACCCCTAGTGGTGTAGGGCTTAGGATTGAGGGTTTACGGAAACGTCAGGATGCTGGAGTAACAAATGGCAGCACAGTGGACTCTGGGAACTGTTTGCTGAGGGTTTGGGGTTTAGATTTTGGGTTTAGGGTTTGGGGTCAATTACTCCCTTTGTCGTTTAGGCTTCTCTGCAGTACCCCCCCCGCCTCCCCTCCCCTCCCCCCCCCAAGCAACCATTGCAAATCAACAAGAACCCTCAAAGACTGTTGTCCTGTTAAGAGAGCTTTATACCCTAAGCCCAAAACCCTGAACCCAAACCCTCAACCCTACGGGACCTCATATTTGCCTGGGCGAGGGTAGTCTTGCAGTTCTTCCGCTTGTTAGTCCCGGGGAACCGCTTGACATTGGATTTCTAGACCAGGTTCCAGGAACACCAAAACCGAAAACCCAACTAAGGAGTTTGCCGGTGACTTCGACAGTTCTGTGGACCAGGCGCTCCTGCTCAGTGTGAAACTAGTGGACAGAAATAAAACCACGGAGGAGTTCGCGGCGGTACTCCCCGAACCCAGATCACTGTTGAACACATGTTTTTTTGGGTTTGCTTCCTGAACCCCAAAAGTATGTAGAATAATGGCCTGTTGGGCCATATTTAGGGGTTCTGGGCTTTTATTTTACCTACTTTTGGGGTCCGGATTTTTGTGAATACTCGAAATCATCCCCTGATCTCATCCATGCAAAATGAGCTTCCCAGCCAACACCTTTACAATGCCTCACAGCAGCCAGCCGGCCAGTATTCGAGGCTATGTTTACGGTTAGTTTGCTGCTTGCTACGAACCCTAAACCCCTCAACCCTAATTATCCAAACCTCTAAACCCTAAACTCCTAAATCCTCAAAATCAAAACCTCATACCATAGACCCTACTTGGAGGGTCAGGGGGACCTAGTAAGTAGGATAACCCATATAGGAACCCTAATTACTCCCCTTGTTAACCTACTTCGTAAGTCCCCCTGACCCTCCAAGTAATGGTCCAGGAAGTATCTGTTTGGGATCTGGGGGATTCTGTGGGATCGTCGCTCTTGTCCACGCTCTCCGGCTACTAGGTTGGCCTTTGGCACATTTCACTTAGGGTTTAGGGTCTATATATCCCTATATATACCTATATATACCTATATACCCCTATATATCCCCTTTAAAGGGACCTAATTATTGGGTACATGGACCCTAGGGTTTAGGGTTTCAGGGTTCCCTAAACCCTCAATTACAGTTTTCCGTGAACTCCTCTTCTTCCAGACATCCCTGAGCTACAGCTACAAACATGAAATGCTTTAAGCACTAACTAAACTCTAAGCCCCTAAAAACTTGCCCTGAAAGGGTAGTAAGAGGATTTAGGGTTTAGGATCTATAGGGCTTAGGGTTTAGTGTTTAGGATTTACGCCTCAAATCCTGAACCACTGGACCCTGAACCGTAAACTCAGGCCACATCTTCAGTTTCGGAGGTCAGCAGTGGAGGAGCAGCGAGCATCCCTCGCTGACCTTCGCTCAGGCACTGGGGCACTGTACTACAGTGGCCGAAGCAACATGTGCCTAAGCAGGGGGTTAATAGGGATATCTCCGGATTTGAAGTTGAGAATCAAAAGGAACATGAATTCTAACATGAAATGGAGAGCAGGGTCATACAGCGGTCAAGGGAACAACGGAATGTAAGGGTCTAAGAAATTTCCAGTATTATCAGTCTAGATTCCGTGTCTAAATATGGAAAACGGGTACATCAAACAGACTTCAACATGATATTGGTACTTCTTTAGGCCCCTGGATTGGAGATCAGCCCCCCTAAACCCTAAACCCTAAACGCCAGAGACAATCTGGGTCGTGATTCTTGTGGGTTCGGTGATGGGGGGTTGCGGCTTAGGATTGAGGATTCATGGGGGTTTAGGGTCTACGTGGGCTTTAGGGTTCAGGGCTTATCAGCAATTGCTGAGGAAGATCATGCCCTTATAGTGAGCATATTCCCAAGCCCTACCCTCAACCCTGAAACGTAAAACCTAAAACTTAAATCCTAAATCCTAAACCCTAAACCCCTAAACACCTATAACCCTAAACCCTATGGCCCTATAGCTCTAAACCATAAACCCTAAACCCCTATAACCCTAAACCCTAAACCCCTATAACCCTAAACCCTCAACGCTAAAGTGCCCAGCAGCCTCCAGAATGCAGGCGGGCATTCGGCCTTCGGAGTCACCCATTGAGGTTGAGCCTTGCTGAGTTTAGGGTTTAGGATTTAGGATTTAGGGTTTAGGATTTAGGATTTAGGGTTTAGAATTTAGGGTTTAGGGTTTAGAACTTCGTGTGTCAGGTGTAGGGTTTAGGATTTAGGATTCAGGGTTCAGGGTTTAGGGTGTGCATCAGTGGACGCGCGCGGGGTGTGCGCCTTTTCTTTAGAGTTAGGGGCGCGCATCCTATCGCGCGCTTGCGCAGCCCCACCCCAGCCACCCAAACTATGCTCATTGAGGGTTTAGGGTTCCTTACCTCTCAAACCCCCTGGCAAGAGTGGTTTCCTTGTTCCTTTCCTCCCCCAGGTCTGTTGTTCACTCCTCGTTGCCGCCACAGAGCACTGGAAAAAGGTTTGAGCAACGCATAGGGGTAGCGGAGGCCTTGGCCGGCCTCCACACGTGGTTCTTTTGGGATGGTGTACAGGATGAGGCCTACAAAGCCTTTGCCAGTGCAAGTACTCAGTTGGGAAGCTTCGGGGTCCTGCACCCTTCAAGGCCTCAGGCAGCTGAGAGGCGGAGGTTCTACAAGAATGTACAAGTTGTGAATAAGGGCCCTAGGCATTGGAGCGGGCCGAAACACCGTGGACACTGGGATGAGGTGGGGGCCCTGAGAGGCCCTGGGAGGCCCTTTTGACCCGATGGCTGGGGGGTTTGGGGTCCCTCTTTTTCTGCGCACCGCTCTATTGTAGACAGCGCTGCTAGAGGGACAGCGGCGCTCTCGCCAGTTTAGGGTTCGGGGTTTAGGATTTAGGGTTTAGGATTTAGGGTTTAGGGTTTAGGGTCATAGTGTTTCGGGCTATAGGGTTTAGGGTTATAGGTTTTAGGTTTAGGGTTTCGGGGGCAAATGATAATGACTTCACCCGACTTCACATGATGTAGGTTTTGGGGCAGGTGTGTCCTAGATGGTGGCTGATGTGGAAATAGTCCAACACCCTTAGCCCTGAATATTTGTTGTTTGATCTCAGGTTCTGCTGAATTCCCTCTCAAAAGTCCAGGTCATAGGCATAGGGTATAGGGTTGGCTGGCTTGGGCTTTTGGGTTCAGGCTTATGCAGGGCTGCCAGAAGAGTTGAAAATCAAATAAGAGAGGATGGAAGATGAAATGGACAGCGGGATCATCTGTGAGTGTATGGGGGCTAGGGCTTGCTGGGGTCAGTGTTGTATATTGCCCTCAAGAACTGATGTTCCACACCGCGATGAGGAGTATGTAAGTAACATGTGTGATGGCACCCCAGCCAGGAAACCACTTGAAATCACTGTCGGACATCTGTACAAGTTGGTTTAGGGCTTGGCATCGCCGGTTGGGGCTGTGTTCTTCCATGTGCTTCTGGAACAGGCGAGTATGGGTGATGTACGGTCGAGGTTGTTTTCTCAGCATTTTCTTTGGTTTCAGCGTTTCGGGATCTGAATTGTTGTTATTTTCTTGTTGCTGTTGTTGCAAGCTGTTTGTTCGTCGACCTTTGCTTTATCCAGGCCAAAGCATTGTGATGATTGTTTTGCCCTATCAACAAGGAAGTGTTCTTTAATGAGAGCTGTACTTTTTGGAGGACTCTCTTCGACCCCATAATTCGTGCATACGTGGAGAGCACTGTGCTTTGAATATACATGAACAGCTACCACATAAACGCACTTTTCAGCGAAAGGGTATCCTTTGCAGGGCCCCTCTGTGTGGTTCTATGACTATTGGGGTTTCTTTTTTCCGAATACTGCAGGTATGTAGCAAACAACATGCTTTGTTTGTTAAGTTACTTACCCTCCTGAACCCGAAGCCCCAAAACCCTAAACAGTGTGGGCCAGTAACCCAGGAGTACAAGGGTGACTTTACTCGCGCTGTCCCGCCAACCGAAGTGAAGAGCTCTGAAACTGATGAGGCAAAAGCAAACGGTCCCTCCTAACAGGATTTGCGAAGACTACAGGGGTATATGGGTTTAGGGACAACCAGCGGCGATTCAAATGTAAAAGAAAATTGGGGGGGAGGGGGGGGGTGAAATGGATCCTGGGACATATATTAGAGGTGGTATAGAGGGGCTCAACGAGTACCACGAGGATTTCGGGAGTTTGGTGACACCAGCCCCGTGAGTTTGGATCCGATTGTCACCATAGGAAGTTGTATATTGTTTTTTTGAATCTTGTTGCTGGATGCTTTTCATGTTTTGATTGAAATGGTACTCATATTGCAGCGTGCAGTGCCTTTACTTGCTGCCATACATAGGACATAGGACCCGCCATGGTTTGCAACATAAGTCCCTTGAAATGATCTTGTTTCATTCTACATCTTTGGAGCCTGGTAGACGACTCTGAACAGATGTTGACAACATGTTCACCCTTTTTGCAAATGCACTCCAAACCTTGACACAAGTCATGCAAGCCTCCACTAGGCTGTGCTCAACCTCCCTGCAGGTAAACGTGACAGTGGTGCTGTTGGACAAATCTAAGAGTTGGACCAGTGCCGCACGAGCCAAACTGAGCACATCAGTTTGGACCTTTGGAACAGCCATGGGTATGGCAAAGTTGTCAACGCATTCCAGGTCCAACGCTGGCTACGTCTTCCGACGGCAGGGTGGTGAAGAGTACCGGAGCAATGCGTGTCCCAATCTTACCTTGACGGATGTCGGAGTGCGGGAAGGTGATACAGTGGAGTTCCTTGGCGACTTCGAGCCATTTGTACCTCCAAGCGATGCGGCTAAGACGGCCAAGACCAAGAGCAGTGTGGACGCAGAGGCCGGGTCCTGCGGCTTGATCCCAGGGCCCGAAGTCAGGTCTATTTCTTGTGATTACAAGTGTGATATTCTCAAACAAAGTCGAGGTACCTTACGGGCCCTAGTCCCATGTAGGGCTTAGAGTTTAGATACGAAAAGATTAGAAGGGTCGCCACAGAGAATCTACGGACATTTTGAGACATTCTGAGACGGCTTTCCGGACACTTCAACCTCCCCGCAGGTAAACGTGACAGTGGTGCTGTTGGACAAATCTAAGAGTTGGACAAGTGCCGCACGCGCCAAACTGAGCACATCAGTTTGGACCTTTGGAACAGCCGTGGGTATGGCAAAGTTGTCAACGCATTCCAGGTCCAACGGTGGCTACGTCTTCCGACGGCAGGGTGGTGAAGAGTACCGGAGCAATGCGTGTCCCAATCTTACCTTGGCGGATGTCGGAATTCGGGAAGGTGACACAGTGGAGTTCCTTGGCGATTTCGAGCCATTTGTACCGGCAGGCGCCGCAGCTACTGCCGACGCAGAGGCCAGATTTGAACACGCAGTTGGGTAGCCCTCTAAACCGTCCCAATACCCATAGACTCTTCACCCAAACCCTGATCCTACAAGCTTTCGCACTCCTGGGTCCTATCCACGAAACCATTCCAGGTGAACCTTTCGGTCGTGCTTCTAGGTACCCCAGTGGTACCCTTTTACCCTTTTTATTTTGGGGTCTCCTTATGAAAGCAGAATAGTAGGAAAAAGGGGACCCATATTATTAAGGGGTTACTGGGGAACCTAGGCTTATGGACAAGTCCAAGAGCCGGACAGTACCCGGACGAGCCAAGCTCAGTGACTCCGTATGGCGCTCCCTGGACAAATTAGGGGCCTTTGATGGGTTTGGGGCTTATGGTTTTGGGTACCCAAAGTGGCCCTAAGCTCTTTTAATTCAGGATTTCACGGATTCCCCCACTACCCGCCCTGTACTACCCGCCTTAAGTTCCCGCCCGTAATTGAGGTTAGGGATGATTCGCACTAATTATTGAGGGGGAACCTAAGGGGGAGTAGTATAGAGGGGGGTAGTAGGGGAACCCTAAACCGTAAGCCCTAAATATTAGGGGACCCATAAGGATTCTGACTTATTACAGTCTGCCCAGGTTTTGGAGCTGCGGTTGGTATGAACACGCTGACCACCAGCACAGCGTCAAACAGTGGATACATCTTCAGACAGCAAGGAGGACAAAAATATAGGAGCAACTTGTTCCCGGACCTTACCTTGGCAGATGTCGGAGTCAGGGAAGGTGACACTGTGGAGTTCACTGGCGACTTTGAGCCTTTTGCGCCCGCACGGTAAGTGGCCTGACAGGCAAGGTTTCACTAATTAATATGGGTCTTTGTCAAGACAGAGTGCCCCCCATTCAGGGTTCCCATTGAGGGACACTGCAGAGATTGATTTGATAAATCTCCTGTATACTGCAGCCTCTGAGCGCGGGTGGATCAATTTCCGGCTTACTTGCGTTGTCAGAAAATATCGCTTGTCGCCAGTGCTTGTGGCGGACGCTGTGCGAGTGTCTCAGCCTGACATGGGTGTTTCCAGAAATTAGGGTTCCATTTTGCCCTAAACCCTAAACCCTAAACCCCTAAACCCTTGACCCAAATGTAAGGTGCCATTGTATAACCTGCAAGGCAAAAGAGCACATAATGTGTGAGAATGACCCACCTACATACTGTCATTGGAACAGTAAGGGTTTAGGGTTTAGGGTTTCTAGATTCTATCTGTTCTCGTTACCTCATATGGGGGTCAAAGCTCCAGGTTTACAGCAATGCTCTTTCAGAAATGAGCATATGAGCTAGAGTCTACTCCTCGAAGGGGGGTTATATAGGGCATGATATAGGGACTATTGTAAGGGTTATTAAGGGGAATACTACGGATTTAGACTATGGCTCATATGGTAGTTGTTCAACATACCTGTCACGAAAACGGCCTGAAGGTAGACTTCCTTGTTAGTTGGAATCTCTCCAGGTTTTGTGGATTCAGCCTTTGGGTGAGTGACTTTATTCCCAGTGGTTCCTCCCTGTTCCTCCTTGAAAAGGACTTGTAGAACAAACCTCATATGGCGTCTGTTTCACTTGCAATCTCTATCACCATTCCATGTGGGCAAGGGATATTACTTGCTCTGTTGTGCTTGCTCTTCCCCCTAAATCCTAAACCCTAAGACGTGTTTGCTCTTTAGCTCTCATGCCTGCTATGATCTGTATTGCTACTCTGCAGCTTCTGCTCTTGCCACTGAGACCGCTGCTGAACACGGTACGGGGTAAAGGGCTTAGGGCTGCTGATGCTAAGGCTTCTGTTAATGATAAGAATAGGGACTTTCTTATCAGATTCATGCCATCATTAGAAGGCCCCCTAACAATAAACATGCTCACCCACCTCGTCGTCTACAGTATCTGCTACTGAAGCCCGGTATATGCACATACAGAAAATCACGGGAAGGGAGGGCATGTAACTTTGGATGGAAGTCACCCTGAACCCTGAACCCCGACTTCTCAAAGCTTTCGAACATCGCTGAGATGGGGCTCCCTAATTTCTGCGGTTCCCTTTTGGAGGGCTTCTACAAGGTGGATAGTATAAATGTGGTTTGTCCTGTTTTAAGAAATAGCTGCCTAAACCATCGACCCCGATATCCTCTAAACCCTAACGCCCAAATCCTCCACATCTGAAAGACCCCAAGCAGGGGGTACTTCATTTGAGCCAGAACTAGTTTAAACTCCTAGTATACCCCTCAATGACCTCTATAATAGTACCCTGTAGAATCTCCTACATAGCCCCCCTTTGGGGGTTTAGACCCTAGACCCCAAACCCCAAACACCAAACCCTAAACCCCTTATAAGCCCTATAATATCTATACCCTAAACAAGTCCCCACATATCTCTAGCTCGTTTTTGGAAGTAATGCTGAGGTGAATGCCGACAAAGGCTGGTATCCGGGCCGCAGCCCCGGTTGAGCCATGCTTAGAAGGCTTATAGAGTTTAAGGTTTAGAGCTTAGGGTTTAGGGTTTCCCAAAATTAGGGGTACCATTGTGCGGGGTCCCCACAAGAAGGACGGTTGTATTTTGAGATCTATATTAGGGTTCCCCTACTTATGGAAACCGTATAGGCTATAGGCTATAGGGACTGAGTAAGGAATGGAAGGGAAAATGCGAGATACTACAGAACCTCATGTAGAGTTAAGGGTAAGCAGACTTACCTCAATTAGGGGACTTCCATTTCTAACCTACTTACGCACTCCCCTGAGCCTTCAAGAAAACCCTTAAACCGTAAATTCTAAACCCCAGGGTGATGCAAGGGGTGGAGTTTGGAGAGCCCTAGGCAGTAGCAACGCTGATGAGGAAGTATTTGTGACGATTAGGGCAGATATATAAAGCACTGCATGCCTTTCAGTATTTTCTTCCTTGGGAATGATGGGACTATAGTATAGCAAGGGCCATGCCGGGTTTTGGTATCAGCAGGTACCTATTGCCCTTGAAATCCCTTGAACCAGGACTTTGTAACATGTGGTAGTTTCCCATGATAGAGGGACCCGAATGTAGATCCCCAAAGACTATAATCCCTACTGTTGGGACGCCCCCAAAAAGGTACCCCCTAATTTTGGGAACCCCCCATGTGGTAGAGCCCCTTGCTGTCCTTCTGCGCCAACCTAATGCCTAAGCCCCGTCAATCCTTGAAAGCAGGCGGTTTAGTTCGGTGGTAAGGTTTTCTCCTGCTCCACAGTAGGTTTCACTAACGTCGGGTAGAGGGTGTAGGGTTTAGGGTTTGGCAAGTTCAGGGTTCAGGGTTCAGGGTCTATAACGTGCTTACCAACAGGGCGGATCGTTTCCTGGAGGATCTCCTTACAATGCAGAGGTTTCCAGGACAACTGAGGACCCCAAACAGAGAACCTCACGAGTGTAGTAGCAACATAATAGGAATGTACCTACAAATGTCCTCATATCCCTAACATATTCCTACTTCATACTTGGGGTTCCCAGTAGTGCCCCTTTACAAGACAAGTGCCCAGGATGTCGAAGCCGGCCCCGAGATCCAAAAGATTGGGCTGTCGCAACCTAAGGGGTTCGAAAAGGCAAAGGTTTAGGGCCCCCCTGAAGTAGATAGAATATGGGGTATATGGGGATCTTAGTATAATATACCCAAAGCCATATTCTATCTACTTAAGGGGGACTTTAGGGTTTAGGGTTTAAAGGGCTTGCTGTGAGTTAGT